TTTTATTAATTTTATTCATTTAGATATCTTATTATGTAATAAATTATTAGTTATGAATATTTAATTACTATGTCTACTCTTAATTACGCTTAATTTTTAAAATTTTAAAAGCATCTGTAACAGATTATTTAAAATAGAGAAAATAGGGATTTTGAGTAATTTTGTGCTCTAACAGATTTTTCAAAACTTTATTTAAAATGTAGAAAGTATGAGAAAAAATATATATTTCTCCATATATGGAGAGTTCTTCAACCATGAGAAAGAAATGTTTTTTTAATTATATTTTACTAATAGAAAATATTAAAATAAAATGTTTATAAGAGAGAAATAGTATTTTTATTAAATGTATATCATATTTTAATAATATAACTAATGGTGTAATCTCTAAAATAGAGAATCTGTTGGAATTGAATACAATTATTTTTTAACTTAATTCTTTATTTAAGAAAAACTTTTAAAGAATGTGTTATAGATATCAAATAAACGAAAGTAGATATAAATTGTGTTTCAAGTTATCAATTATTATTCTATAAATTTGGTGATAAAGCTCAATTATTATTTTATGAATTCAATGATAAAGTTGATAGTTAGAGACATTTTTGCAGTTGCTAAACAGTTTGATGTAGAATGATTAACAGATTCTCATAATATAGTACAAAATGAAATATAATTATTTACAATGAAATTAGGGCGAGAGAGGCCCAAGATACAAAATCATTAAAAAGGTTTTAGAACCATTAAGTGACAGGTTTTTAATATTATGTGTGAACATGTTTATATGGTTGGTTTAGGTTGAATTTTATATTCATGAATAATTGTAACAATGTCTAGTTATAGTTATTTAAATTAGACATTTATAAACGTATTTTCTAAAATTAAAAACTATTAGAGATACAGAGTTGAGTTCGTTTTAAATGATATTTTTTCTATGTCGAATAGTAAATGGAAGTCTAAGAAAATTATTTATTACTTAAATTGTGGATTTGGTGTTTGTGTTTTAATTTTTTTTACTACAGTTCTTTATAGTATGTTTATTGTGGATTTGGTTCTTGTGGTATATTCAATTTGTTTTGGTCATGGTCCCTCTGACCAACGCATACGTTAACTCCATTAAATCAAGAGTCATTTTAACCTTGTAACTATTCTTTTGATTTTTTTTTCTATAAAAAAATAAAAACAATTTTTTACACACACACACACACATATATACATATAGAGTTGGGTTCACGTGAGACCAAAGTTTTTTTGAGACCCGTAAAACCAATTTATGTTCATTGTTCAACTTTATAAACTAACGATCTAATAGTCTAAAGTTGCACGGTGGTAATTTTGTGATTATTGAGAAGTCTCGTGGCAATTTTGTGATTATGAATGTTCAGATTATAGATCTAATTCAATGGTTGAGAATTAATCTTACGAGTCTCACGAAAAACCTTTGGTCTTACATGATCTCAAGTCTATATATATATATATACACATACATACATAAATACATACATATATATATAGTGATACCAAAAGAAATAAAATAGGATATTATTTTATAATTTGTTTTGTTTAAATTAAAAAATTAATTATATTAAATACGATTTAATTTTTATTGTTTTAATATTTTTGCCTATTTCTATATGAAAAGATGGTTGAAATTAATACATGAATTTGTTCAATTTTAAGTTATACAAATGAAAGTATGTATGAATCTTCACTTGGTTGAAATCTAAATAGTTGGTTTTAATTTTTTTAATGAAAAACAACATAAAAATTGGAAACCTAATTTTAAGACGATAAAATTGGAGTTCATTTTTTAGTGGGTTTATATGATTTTGGTGTTAGAATATCGATAATAAGTTGTTTATTGAAATGATAGAAAAAAAAAACAATAAAATTAAATTGTCTTTAACATAATTATTTTCTCAATTTAAATTAAAATTTTAATTACATTAAAACCATGTTCTTTTTCACCATTACAATAAAATTCTATTTAATATAATTAATTTAAAAAAAAATAAACAAATCAAATCTTCCCCTTTTAATGCTGATAGACATAACCTCCCCCCCCCCCTCCCCCTCCCCCTCTCTCTTTTAACTCTCTTTGTCTCTTTCTTCTTCCTCAAATGAAGATAAACCCTAAATTTTCAGAGCAACATACGGAAGGCTCAAATGGAGAAGAAGATGTTGAAGAGGTGACGTTAGTTGGAATGGAGGCTGGAGAAGAAGAAGAGATGGTGGAGCTAGAGAAAGGGGGTGTAGTAGGGTCGAAGTTAGAGTTTCACGGTGAAAGGATCTTGAAATTAGATGCTCACGTTTATATGCACATGTGCATGCAACATATGTTCCTCATCTACATATTTTGATGCTGAAATTGTATTTCAATTATTCACCTTTGAAATTTTATGTTTCTAGAGTTTATGCACACGTGACACGTGAATATAAGGACTCAAGCATTCATCTCTCTCTCTACTCAGTTTTTTGTTTTTATGTGCACGTGAAAGTGATGAATGATGTTTCATTCACCTATGCATACTATCCAAACAATGAAGGACGGTGAATATGATGACTTATTCACGTGTGTATACAACTCAGAATTTGAAAGGAGATGAATACAAAAATTTATTCACAAGTGCATACGACCCAAAAATAGAAAGACAATGAATACGGTGATTTATCCACATGTACATTCAACGTAAAAACTTAACAAGTTATCAAATATTTTTTTTAGACTGTTGAAATGTTTTTTATATAATAAAGGAAGTTTCCATAAATTATGGTAACTTTCCTTTATTTAAATGATTTAATAAATTGAAATGGATCATCCATTAAATGAAATGTATCACTTTATCCTTTTATAATTAATAAAATGTTTAAAATTGTTATTTTAAATAGTGGTTGGATTATAATAGGTGGTTATTAGACTGTTTCTTGATTTTTCATTGTTTTTACGGGTTTCACCTGAACTTGACCCTATATATAGAGGGTTGGAAGTTATGGTGAAAAACGTAAGAAAAAATCTTCACTATTGGATCAATCCTAATTCAATGTCAACATTAATAAGGTGTACCGAGATGCACCAGATTGATTCCTTTCGAAAACGCATTTCATGGGAGACATGAGATTAAAAGTGATCAAAGGTTCAGATGTTTTCATACGTTTCTCACTGTAACTTCCCTTCTTACACGATCATTTGTCTATATATATATATATATATATATATATGTGTGTGTGTGTGTGTGTTTGTGTGTGTGTAAATATTGTTTTACTTTTTTATAGGAAAAAAAAAGACAAAAGAATAAGTAAAAGGCTAAATTAACCCTTGATTTAACGGAGTTAACAGAAGTGTTAGTCAGAAAGATCATGGGCAAAACAAGTTGAATACCACAAAGACTAAATCCACAGTAAACATACCATAAAAACCCTAGTAAAAAAACACATCAAACCATAGGGACCAAATCCATATTTCACTCTTATTACTTTATAGAAATACGTTTTCGTTAGATCATATGTTAATTAAGGGGCCGTTTACCAAACGCTTACCCGGATAAGCGCTTATCAAATAACATTACCTCACCGGATGAATATAGTAAGGACCAAGAATCTTCTCCGGTAAGAACGAAACAAGGATCAAGAGTCTTACCTAGTAAATGAGGGCAACGACTCTTATCACGATAAACGCTTACCGAGTAAATTATTGTATACTATGTCGTTTTGGTGGACTAAAATCTTACCCGGTAAGTACATAATACTTTTAAATTTTACCAGTAAGCACTCACTAAGTAAGTGTTTGATAAACGACCTCTAAATATTACGATAGATAGTTGAGATTATATTTTATACATGGAAACTTTCATCAAAATCAGCGATAAGAGAAGCATTCCCTCATGCTATATACCCTCAAATTGAAGAATTTTATGTTTTGTAAGCGGTTTAAAATCATTTAAATATGTTAAATTATTAAAAATAAATCCAATAAATCAATTTATATTAAAATGATAAAAATTATGTAAAAAAAAAAAAAAACTTTATTTTCAATTTAAAACCTCACATGAACAACGGGACCGTTAGCTCCAGGCAACCCGGGCGCATTAGGGTTGAAAATTGGCTTTTTTAGCCAGGATTTTTCAGACCTGGCCTGCACCCAAAATTTCGGCATGATCAGGCATTTGAGGCCTGGTCTTGACAAAGCTTCAGGCTCGTTAGGTTAAGGGTTTTTCCGAGTTGGGGGCACGAGCCATGCCTGAGCTGAAGTTCCGCGCTTGGGTTTTTATTGTGCATCTTAGGGGCCGTTTACTAAACACTTACCTGGTAAGTGTTAACTGGGTAATTTTCCTTACCGGATGAACATGACAAGGGTCAAAAATCTTACCCGGTAAGTGCAATGATAAAGATGAAGAGTCTTACTCGGTAAGTGAGAGTGACGACTCTTACCCGAATAAGCGTTTACAGGGTAAATTGTTGCATACGATACCATTTTGATATACTACAATTTTACCCGATAAAATTAATTACAGTGTTCGACTCCTGACGGTAAGCGCTTACCGGATAAGCATTTAGGTAAACGATCCCTTAGGGGCCGTTTACTAAACACTTACYTGGTAAGTGYTAACTGGGTAATTTTCCTTACCGGATGAACATGACAAGGGTCAAAAATCTTACCCGRTAAGTGCAATGATAAAGATGAAGAGTCTTACTCGATAAGTGAGAGTGACGACTCTTACCCGGATAAGCGTTTACAGGGTAAATTGTTGCATACGATACCATTTTGATATACTACAATCTTACCCGATATAATTAATTACAGTGTTCGACTCCTGACGGTAAGCGCTTACCGGATAAACATTTAGGTAAACGACCCTTTAGTCTATAAGACTAAATCCCTTATCCCACGTTTTTGTGCACCTTTATGGACCAGATAGGGTGAAATTTGACGTTTAAAGTGCTACAAAATTAAAAGAGTTGTATTACAACAAACCAAGCAAAACAACACGTGTAACTTGCCTTGCATACCAGAAAAGATCGATTTGATAAGATTTTTAGAGTTATGTGCTTTGCCACACATATTTTAGACCGTTGGTTCAGATTTCCTATTGGAAAAAAGGTATACGAAAGAGACAACTGATATGGACCCAACAATTTTCAGCTTCATTGGCTTCTGACATTACAACAAAAACAAAACAAACACCATTAGACCGTGACTGCTTCTTATAGACAGAATTGATTCCCCAAGATTTCAACTTCACCCAACCCCAAACCCTCGTTGCGCCCGCCAACCACGAAAAAGGGTAATTTGGTCATTTTACACGTAAGCAAACTAGCTAGCTAGCAGGTTATATCGATACGTAACGTAACGTTATGATATGTTGTAGTATAAGAATTGTATTTGAGTTACTTGGCATCGTTGTCTGATATCAACTTCTGGATCAGTTTGCTCGTCTCAGCTTCAGACATTAGATCTTTTCCGCTTGAGGATTGAGACTGGGATAGTGAGTAGGAATTGAAAAACTCGCGGTTCTCTTTCTCTAACTCCTTCCAGACTGCATAACAAAGTACATAGTGTTAGAGTCCCGCATCAGACAGACTTTGGATTATTTCTCCTAAATATATGCTGAAACCTCCCTTCTGTCCTCAAGGGCATTTTTGGAAAGTGTCTAAGGGGTTCGGGTTCCGCATATTCTCACACAGGGAAATATTCTTGTAACAGTGGCTTATAAACGGCCTCCTTAGCCATGCTATTTTGGTACCTTTCTCTTTCAGGTAGTTGGTTTGTATTAGTAATTCGTGAAAATGACTAAAGTGATCATCTAACACCTGCTTTTAGTATGTGTGGTTGAGGGACAAAACCGTCTTGTCGTTTATATAAGAAAATATCAAATCATTCCACAACCCCAAAAGACGAAAAAGGAACATGGAGATAGATCTTATGTACGCATGCGTGATTGATCTGCATATGATCAAGATTGTGAAGAAGAGAAATGATGTGAAACTAACCAGTGGAGGTGATGACGCGTTTGATGTTTGCATGTCTAAAAAGGGCTTCCATGCACTCATCTTTGCTCATGCGGAAGATCAGACACTTTTCGATAAGATGTTGCACCTAAATCAAGTCATAACGAGTTAATAATATGTATGACCAATATGGAACACCAATAACAAGAAGAAACTTAGATAAGAAACGGAAATTTACTAGCAGTAAAAACAATATGGTGCTACGTTTACTACCATGCGTATGTAGGAAGCTGAATCGTCACCCATCCACACAAATTATGTATATACTCTTTCCACCAGCAATAAGAGAGAATGAAATTTACAAGAGTTTGGCTAACTTATCATGGGATTTCGATAATGATCAGAGGTGCATATGGTAAATCAATCATGACACGAAAGGATGTGCAAATGAAACTATATAGACACTAGAAAGGAGAGATGTTGGGGTGGGCCAAGAAGTCCCATGTGGGAGATGGATAATAATTGGTAGAGAAGGGATCAGAAGAGATTTGTATATGAGTATTTCTGTCATGTAGGATTCCTGTTTGGCAGCTGAAAACCCCTCGTGACCGATGGGTCCTACTTCACTCTATGGACACTCTAGAAAATTAGACTAATAGACAACCTTAGCAGCCGTTATCCAATAAGAATGCAACATATGGCATTTTTGATCAAACAATTGGCGCAGTGGTGGACGTAAGATTGTCGACATGGTGTTGTGGCAGTCTATGATTGATACAGTCATACGAGTAGTAAAAGTGAACAAGGATTCCAAATTTGGCTCAATTTCTTTCAGTTCTTTATGCTCAAAACTTCATTCAGGACTCTTATCAGCTCTGTGTCTTTATCTGGCCTTAAAAGTTTTAGTGTCATCCACTACCTCAAGTGGATTTTTATTGGGGATGGAGGGAGGGGGCGCAAATGTATCTCAGCAAAGCTGATGGGTCGCCATCAATACCATATTCACAGAAAACAGTCAGAAAACCATTGCCAGCCTCTAGTTCATGAATCTTGAACCTAGGAGATATTTTGATAACCAAAGAAAGTTCCTTTCTGGCAAGTGATTGGTCTTTCTTCCTTTAGCTGATCGTTGGAAACCATAGACAGATGACCTGTTGATATGAGTTTTGAAAAAAGGGCGACCCGGGTGCACCTTGGCTTTGTGAGGGTCAAGATGGTAGTCTTTGGTGCAACCCTTGACCTCTCAATCACAAAAGAGTAATCTTAACCATTGCACCAATGCTTGTGCCCCTTGATGTAAGTTTCAAGTGGAACAAAATATCAACTATAAAAAGAAGATGCATGCATCTAAATTATTCCTACTTCATATTTGTCCTGACTTTATATTAGTCCTAAATAAAGATAAGATTCTTGTCACACCCTGACCCTACTCCTTCCTTAAAATGAAGGCAAATGAGAGAACAAAATACTCCCTCCTAAACAAAAATCCAATGTTTATCTTGTCTTACAGGTTAATGTTAATGTCTGACTATTAGTCAAATATCTAAAATACCCTTCGATAAATAAAAAGCACAGGAGCCTTATAGACTGAAATCGGCGTTACCATCTTTTGTAGATTACCAATGGGCAAAAAGTTAAGTTTGGATTCAAACCTGATCTAAAAATGAAATGTTGCATTTCTATTGGGAACCTAGAAGAGATCGTTCCATTTATTTTGGGACAGAGGGATTTGTAATTAGCTGTTCAAAATTCCAGCCCCTAAAACTTCACTTCTACATTTTTATCCCTGTAATCCCATGAATAATCAATAATAGATCTTAAAGGGTAGGAAGCCTAAAAAACACACACTGTCAACCAATTACACTTGAAAAAGTTAGAAGTTGTGGTCCTTGATATGTGCTTCCAGAAAAATCCAACATTATAGTGTCCTATGCACCGTCCTGGTATGTGGTACAATCAGATACAATTGTAGATTGAAGACAGGCATTCACACCTCATGATCAAAAGAAAACTCAAGCACAAAATAAAGACCAATAATAGAAGGTTAAGATTCAAAAGGTGGTTATAGCTGCATAACAATCTTGATTTAGCTTCATGCATCAAACTTCTTTAAGTAAATCATCAGATGCCTGAAAGATATGATGAATCAATGATGTGCTTTCATTCTCTTAACTAAAATAGAAGGTTAAAAGGAAACAGACACAATGGAAGCTAAAAATCATGGTTGAAACCATAACAACTTTAAATACAAAGACCGAACATCTATATAGAAAAATGTGCCCAGCATCTCCCAGCAAATGTGACTCGATATGCCTTAAGTCCTATTCAGTAATAAGCAATAACATCCATCGACAAGCACTTATGCAATAACTATTATTTAGACAGATCTTTTATCATATTAATAATTAAGGATTACTAAATGATATATGCGCATAGCGAACAGTGATGAAAATTACTAATCCTCAAATTAAGCATATATTTTAGAGAATGTAACATGTAGTTCTATAGTCTGCAAAAATTAAAAATACAACTGGCAATATCATGACAGTTGCATCATTAAGCATAGCCGAGTGGAAGGACTCATATACCCATATGGGCCTTGGGCTATGGTAACGGACAAATACCCCAAATCAGGGGGCTCAAACCCCAACGAGTCATTACGCAGGGAAGGGGGGGGTCAACCCCTGAAGAGAAACGATTACAACCCCAGTGACACAATGGCCATGGTAGAATGGCCACAATTACACAATCGAATGCAAACAGAGCCTTAAAGGCCCTGCGGGACACTTGGGTGCCAAGTACAATCAACCTACAAGTACGAAAGGAAACCGGCAATAGTTTCTACTCTTATAGCTACCCCATAAGCCATCTTCCTCATCTGCTAGCGCTTAGTTTCTCTTAGTGACTTTACTTACCCTCATGTCCGAGATGGAACCAATGGTGGATCCCTTTCCATATCCATCATATTGCAGATTATCCAGAGCTCAGCCAGAGATTTGGCATCAACATGTAACATTCCATCAGTACTGCTCGGTATGGTTCATGGACTGAGACTATTGTAGGAGATATACCTGGTAAAAAAAGAATTACAAGTGCTTAAAGCCATCTATGTCAACCAATGGCTTTCAGCAAATTTTCAATTATATATTGGAACATATGAACAATTTGGAATGAAAATAAAAGTAGATCTTGTGCTTCTATTTGATCAAATATAAACCCAAAAGGTTAATATTGGAAGAGTGAAAAAATCAAATAAGAACCAGATCTCCTAACCTGATAATGTTCACTGGTTCACACATGTATCAATCACAGGGACTTTTGCATCTGAGCCTAAAATCACAGAATCCACTGCTATTTTCAAATCCTCTTTCATGACTATAAAGTGGCCTCACTTCGTTTGCTCCCTTCCGGTCACCTCAGCTTCTGAATCCAATCTTGAACGTTCACTTAGGCATTCACAATTTCACTTCTCCTTCAAGTTCCAATAAGATTGTTATGTTTGTCTCGGACCTTCAACCACAAGTCCATTAGTCTAAATACAAAAGTAGATTTTCTACTTATCAAGAGTCCTCATCATATCTCATAAAGCCAAGGTTCTTGTAGGGTGGTAGTATTTGAGATATCTTATGTGATGAATACTACCCAAGGAAGAGGTCTCCCACATGCAATGGATACGGCCCCCTTAAGCATATATAAAACATCTTAAATACTATTTTACATACATATTCATAATGAAACTTCATTTCTGACATAGTACATGGAGTGACAGAAAATTGTTAATGTGTTGAAAGGTAAAAAATAGAGCAAACATCACCAACTTACTGCATGATTCTCTGTTCAGTTAATTATAAATACGATCATATGGAAAATGTTCAAAAGAGGGGAAAAACAAAAGAGCTAGTGTACACCAACAGTTTCTCAGAATTACACTTTCTAATAAAGCAACAAGACTCGGACCCTATGTGCACAAGCTGACAAACTACAAAATTCACTCGAACAAAGAGGCATATCTAAGACTTCATATAACCAATGGAAAGATAAGAATGTATCAGGACCACCAGCAATACCATAATAAGAAGTGCCTCTGATCATTGTAGAGTCAAATGGGAGGTGAAAACTCTGTTTGGATATTGAGAAGGATGGTATATCTTAAAGATGTATTAGCCAACAACCACAATATCCTCACACAGACCACAATTTGAGTAAAATCTTGTGCATATTGGCCAAGTCTTATCTCACCCCCTCCTTTTTGTTGGATAAGTGTCTTCCTTTTGTTATCCGTTCAGTGGTTTGTATTGGATTCAAGTCCATGTATTCCGTATCAGTCTAGGTGGATTTTTATAGCAGGTATTCTCAACTTGTCAAGAAAAACAACAAACTTTCAACTAGTTAAAAGATTAAAAAATTGCAAAATATCTGCACCATGACAGCAAGCACTGAAAATGTAAAGATCTTGCAAAAAGATCGGYTCTCTTATCATCAAGTCACAAGTCACACATTCTACGCCATGGCTAGGATATTACACACCAAAACAACAATGTCAGTCCTTCCTGATACAGTTGTCATGTAGTGGCAAGAACAGAACACATATATAATCTGCCAAGAAGAAGGTCCTTCTCATTGGACAACACATTTTAAGTGTATGATACGTCCCAATTCTGAATTCATGATATTTGGCACATTCTCATCGGACCAAATCTTAGAATTTTAATATCTCCATGGTTGGCACTTCAAATAATATGATGAACCAAGCTGCTTGGTTTTAACTTTTCCTATTTCTAAACCTTGATTGGCCAACTCAACTAGCAAATAAAGGCGAGCCTTGGGGCTGTGCCTGCCTGTTGGAGCCTCTCAAGGCCATTAGGGATTTTCCTACCTTGAGGGCCTGTGGAATTAATTTGAGATTCTGAGGTAAACAAAGAAAAATCTTCTCCTATCATTATCTTCCTGATAAAAGATTCAATTGAGGGTCGAAGATCAACTTCTATTAATATTGACCCCTTGCTGTGCTATATTAGCATACACAAGGAGGAGAAAATACAACTAATATTCTCAAATATTATAATTAGTATATAGATACACGCACAGGCACAATCACTACCACACATATATATACGTTTATAAACAGAAAATTCAGAATTAAGTACATCCCAATATGATTTCAGACATATAACCCTAAATTTAAAAAAGAACTGCAATTTTTGGTGAAGATAAACATCCTTACTATTATCTCTTGTTCTAAAATATCTGGTTGATGTATGCCGTAGATTTGAAAATACTCTATTTGCATTTTGCGTCTGAGAAGCACTGGCATTGGATCTTATCGGTTCAAATTTCAAGAACGAGTCGGTCGAAATCAAGATATCGATCGGAATTCCAAAGAGCAGTACCATCTACTGATCAACAAAAGGAAAAAAGCATTGAACGTGTGTAGGGTTAATAAACCTGATCATATTGATGACACCAACCATATAGTTGTTTCAGGGGTTTCTCGGATGCTTATTTGATACAAGTCGTTGTTTGGAATTGTTTATTTAAAACAAATTGTTTTTTTTTAAAGTGCTTCTTAATTTATCTGGTATTAAACCAGAGTTTTACAAAAATATTTGGATAATTTATAGTGGTATCAAAAAGTAATAAGTTGATAAATTGTTTTTTAGTGTTTGGTAAATTTTGTTTATATATGTAAAATGATAAAAAAAAGACAGTCTTTCATATTATTGACTTATGTGGGTGTTTGAGATTGTTTGTTAACTTATTTGATTTTTTAACATGTAAAAATTTATTTTTCATCATTTATAATAATATCTTTGACAACAATTTATATCAATAAGATTAATAATTTATATCAATAAAATTAATAATTAATAAATATGGTTAAAATGGTAAACTGGTAATAAGCAGTTTTTCATAAGCCATGAATGATTAACTTATCAAAAACTGTTTATTACCGGTTTAGCACCGGCATAAGCAGTTTTATTTTTCCTCATCCAAGCATTAGCATTTAGTTTATCACCGGTGCCAGACTGAAATAAGTCAAAAAACACCTAAAATAAGCAATCTCAAACACCCCCTTATATTTTTTTTTATGAAACTTATTATTATAACTTAAAATGATTTAACTTCTTTAGAAACTTCTTATTACCAGTTTGGCACCGATATGAGTTGTTTATCCAAACACTCAAAAATGTTTATTACCGGTGTCACAGCTAAATAAGTCAATAAGTTATTTGTATAAGCAATCCCAAACACCCCTCAATGGCTACCGTAACGGTTCTTATTTGTAATTGCAATTTAAAAAGGATATCCGTTTTTGCGGAAATCACCCAAATTGACTATTTTATACATGTTACATTAACAAAATATTCACTTTTCAAAATAAAAATTATAAAATGACTATATTGGAGGGCGATTTTGACTTTAAGATATAGATGAGTCCCACATGTATACCATTTGGGGAACAAAAATCAGATATTATATCTGATATATATGAAATCACCCTCATTTTATCCAAATCACTCCATAGGGCGATTTTAACCTCTATTCCGTCTTCTGGTGAAAACAACTTATGACGTAATGATTTGACACATCAATGATGATTTCACGAGACATCGGGAGCGATTTTCATTGGTATTTTGTCTTTTTTATGACCAAATGTAGTGTATATATATATATATATATATAAAAATCTTGTAGTATTATCTATAAAATTGTAGTGATCCAAACACTTCTACTCTCACAACCCTTAAACATGATCTACCGTCACAACCATTAACACAAATTTGAAATCACGTTAAAGTGATAATGGTTCCATGTATGTTCAAAGTGGCGGGTTAAAGATTGTGAGAATAGAAGTGTTTGGATCACTACAATTTTATAGATAATACTACAAGATTTATATATATTACATTTGATCATAAAAAACAAAATAACAATAAAAATCGGCCCCAATGTTTTGTCAAATCGTCATTGATACGTCAAATCGTTACGTCATACGTTGTTTTCACTAGAAGACGAAATAGAGGTCAAAACCGCCCCCATGGAATAAAATAGTTACAACTTTCAAATAATTTCAATTTGATATATATCGGTGTTAATTGTATTGTTAAAATATTTTATGAATTTATCATCCGAGGTAAAATCTTTATTTTTTTATAAAATAATAATATATCCAACATTATTGATAGACACAATAAAAAACAGTTCTTACATCCAATTCTCTCCTATTTTTTTGCTTCCATTTAAGTAAGCGTATGTTGTGAGGACAAACTTCTAATACATTTATACTGAGTTGCTTGCGACTTTGGTTGTCACATGCATTGTTGAACATGATTTGTTTGTGATACTGAACTCGTGTCGCGTACAAGTTTCAAAGTTTTAAAATACCTATAATATTAATAGGCAAATTGTAAGGTCATCCAGAAGTCAAGTTCCCATACCAACTGGGAAAAATCAAATTTTATGGCTACATCGTTCTCTAGTCTCCATTTTTTGAAGTAGTAGGTTGTTTGCTACCATTTAGATTCATCAGAACCATTTAGGTCAACATTTCATTGTAGCCATTATGTCCATACGTAGACTTGTACAACTATAAGGTTTGTGAACCATGTTATATGCCTGCATTGTTAGTTTGTTTTCCCTATTGTTTATCCTTTGTGATCCATTTCAATTGTGGATTATTTTGCTTCACATTTGATTGGTATAAGCATAAACATTGTGATTTAGGTTTTACAGGGCAAACAAATTAGATTTTTCGTAGCTAAATTTGACATTTCAATCATATATCTGGTCATTTTGCAGATCCACGAATATACAATCTAACGCTCATGCAATACCTAAAACAATGTCGGGGGGGGGGGGGAAATGGTAAATTCAACTCATCTAGTCCGTTTAATGAAAATACTAATTATAAGATAAATGGACTTATGATATGTCAAAACTGATTTATATGTCTTTGACTTGTTATCTGATTAGATATGAGCAACTCATTTTATTATCTATACGACTATAAGGTAAAAGGTTGAGTTCCGGTGAGAATGAGATTTAAGGTGAAAAGCATAAAAGGGGTTTTCCACCATTTGATGCACATTTCTGATTAGATGTACCAAGATATACTGGATCAATCTCTACATCAAACGCGATTCATTGGTGGATTTGAGATTAAAAATGATCAAGGGTCCAAAGAACTCTTTTTACGCTTCTCTTAACTCTACTTCTCATACAATCATTCGCCATAAATAAAATTTAAATATATATATATATATATATATATATATAGGGGCTTAATCAAATTAGAACTGAATTGTTTGTGGTAACTGTGAGAACCAATCTCAACCACCTATTATAATAATCAATGGGTAAGATTAAAAAGAATCTTAATTAATGTATTTCTATAAATAAATTAYTVTYATTTAATGACATTATATGAACAAGGGCAAGATGGTCATTTTGTAYGTTAATATTCTTGTTCAATTGGAATCCAAATATAGTGAAGATACTTTCCTGTATTTGAGACGGAGACGATTGCCTT